CTGTGAGCTTATTCGGGCTCCTCCAGAAACATAATGATTGGTTGATGTGCAAGAGGTTCAACTTTATTGCACTGCACACCGGTCCCTCGCCGCAGAAACCAGTCAGCCTATCGCTTGATAAATCTTGATAACTAGTAGCTAGACTTACATTGTCTCCAGGCTTTCGATCTACAGCTCCCAATGCCAGGCTCGGAAACCCGAGCCCACAAGCCCTGATTGACAAGTAGCTGTGGCCCCGGGCTGGCACCTTTGACACGGGCGGCAGGACCTGATCCGCACGGAATGCTGCAGGGAGTAGCCTAAGGTTTCTTTCCAAATTCGAAAATCAAGTCCCAAAGCCAGCAGCCCTAAAACCGAAGAAATTCAGATCCAGCGTGAGTGCATGCACCCCTAAAGCCCTATGCCCGCCTCAACCTGCCTTCACAAAATCATTCATTCAACTGTTAAACGGCGCCGAATTTCGGGGCTCGGTCTCGGATAAAAACGGAAGGGGTGTGATCAAGACCTAGTGCTTCGACATTCGGACTATCTCCAACCTGCACTCCAGGATCTGCAATCCTCCATAATGAAGTTGGGATCTTGGTCTTGCCAGGGTGCCGTAGGCCGTGGCAACTCCTGCGCTAACTGCGAAACGAAACTCTGCCAAAGCTCCTTTTGCTCCACTCCCGTCTTGGCCTAATCTGTCATGTGCAATGATCTCAGCCACCTTGAACACTCTCCGAAATCTTGTTCGTCCACTTACCACGAGGGTCCAGGAACAGTTTTGCCTGGTGCGGATGGTCCTGCTAGATGGCAAATGCATGAGATGAAACCAACTGCCACTAGTTTCCAAAGACTTCGTGCGAAAGCAATCGACAAGCGGGAATGCATTCACGTGCAACCGCATGCCTGACATCTCACCAGCCGACATTTTGATTCCTGAAGATCGAGAATCCAAGAGCAACACAGACTTGCTCCAACCCTGGAGCGTGCAAGCCCGCCAGATCCTGGTATTGCATCAGCATTCCATGGTTGTACTGCAGACGCTCGCGGGCGCCGCCCTGAGCTTCATGGTTTTAAGGCGAAGTGAGTCCGGGACCTCGTGGATACTTGAGGCCAGGATGGCCAGGCTTTCAATCTTGATGATCAGTTTTGAGGTAGTCGATCTCAAACACAGGCTCTACAAACCAAATGGGTCTGCCCGCAACAGGCGACGAGCTGCTTTCGCCTTGTGTTGCGAGTCTCCCATATTTCTCCCATACAGCTATCGGTCTCTCTCTGTCTGTTTCGCTGTCCTTGTTTCAGTGTCTCTCTCTCTATCTCTCTATTTTTCCGGGGTTGATGGACGGCCTTCTTTGTTGCCCGCTTTCTTTCTCCACTTCAATGGCCTTGCTTCGCAACAGAGCGCGCCCGTGATGTGCCCCGCAAAGCCATTGGCCCTCATGCACCTGGGGCCACGCAATGTCAGGCTCATGGGGGTAATGGCAAGAAGGAAAAACATCTTTCGTGATGCTAGGGTTGGGAGCCGGGTGAAGCTGCAAAAAAGTGCCAGACATCTACAGAAAAAACTGCTCTGCTAACCATCAAGAAAAATTGTTAAGCCTCAAGACAAAATTGACCCGCAATAATGCCCACGCGTGAATGACGACATTTGTTGTTGGTGGCAAACCATTACGAGTTACAAAGTTGCAGGATCCGGAAGGCGAAAGGCTGTTGGGAAACTACAAATTCCAGAGTCCTGGGATGGGCCAAGCTTTTGGGAATGACGAGTTGAAGCCAGATGTTTTGGGTCGAGCTATAGCCGAAGTTTGCAAAGTCCTGTGTTGGAACAGCATATTGTGGAAGAAACATTGGCAGAACTTGTTTGGAGTCAAGCCATGGAATAACTCCGATTACAAGGTCCTGTTTTTGCCGCCTTACTGTGGAGCTCCATTTTGCTTGGGGCCGAACCATTGGGGGACTCCAGTTTGCAGGGTGCTGAAATGGGTCAAGCTACTGAGGAGTTACAATAAGCACATTCCTGTTTGGGGTCCAGCCTTTGAAGTCAAATTTGCAGGATCTCGTCTGCGCTAAGCAATAGAAGAATTCTGTTGACGGTGTGCAGTATGCCATGGCTTGTCAGTCTGTTGTGATCCCTTGCCTGTGACTCAAGTCTTGATGACCGAGCCTGTAAGTTGTGCGAGCGACCGCCGCTTTGTACACCCAAGGTCTATGTACGCCCAGAGCATGACGTAAGCAGAGCTTGAAAAGTGCAGACTTACATGTGCTTGTAAGCAAAAGGTTGATTGCGAGCAGCATTGTGCCATGACCGTTTCTGCACATCCGCCGTGCTGGACGGGAAACAACGGGCCCAAACCACGGCACAGTTACGATGCCTCCTGACCTAGTGCAGGGCCAAGGAGGAGCCTCGATGTCGATGAATGGCTCCGTGGAGCATTCAGATCAGCGGATGGCTACTCAGCGACGACTGCAGCAGAGAATGCGGTTGTTGTGGATGAGCAGATGGGACCGAGTCTGGATGCCTCGGAACCAGCCCGTGCTGGGCAAGCTGCAGCTTCGGTTGCAGATCCTCGTCCTGATGTGTTTGCAAGTGCACAGCGGATGGAAGTTGGAGGGATGAGTTTTCGCCTCCTCAACATTTATTGGAGATTCAAAGGGCTGCTGCTGGTTCAAAAAATCAGGCTTTGTGGTTTCTTCGGCCTAGTGAGTTCGTGCAACGCAAGCTAAACAGCCTGGACTCCGATCTTGGAGTCTGGGCCTCAAACTGTTCTCATTGTTTTCACCGGCCGCAAGCTGAACAGGCCATGGTGGACACGGAGGGCGCCGCATCTGTTTCCGGCAGACGTCCGTGCTCCGCACGTCCAGTGGATTTCTTACTCAGGAGCAGATGACGGCCGAGGTCCAGTGAAAAGTCAAGCTGAACATGTGTAGTCATGAAGATGAACGGGCCATCTTGCCCAGTGACTATCAACAGTTGAAGGCTATGCGGGAGGGAGTGTTGACGGAAGTGCAGAATCGGAGTTTGGATGATGAGGCCATGAAGGACGTGGAAACTCGGTTGGACGTTCCGAATCTAATGTGGCGTAGGTTCCGTGAGGTAATCCTCCCGAGCTATGCCTTACTCCAGAGTATCGGTACAAAACCTTCCTGAACCGCATCCGTGCCCCGCAACCTCCCTGTACTGAATACCTTGGTGATCCTTCTGGTGTTCAAGGGCCTCCGACAGGGCAAGGAGGCAATCCGTTGGCGTCCCAGGAGGTGCTTCAACGAGAGCTACCTAACCCAACCCTACAACTACGGATGCAGGTGGAGCGCGCTGCCGAGATACCGCGCATGAAGGAGGGAGCTTGCACACCAAAGGCCTTTGAGTTTCCATGTTGGGGCCCCTGCCGCGAGCAAGGCCTTTGAGTTTGAGGATCCCATGGAAGCTTCGATGAAGGGAACGGCTGTGCTACAGAGTGCTCTGACTGAGTTCAGGTTTCCTGAAGCAAGGAAGCTGAAGTTGTGAAGTTAGGGCAACCAGATTTGCTGAAGCTTCCGGAACCACATGGGTGACTTGTTCACCAACAGTGGCACTTGGTGGAAAGAGCTGGTGTCTTGTTTGGGCAAGTACGATGAACCTGCATTGCCTCGTCTCGTGTGGGTAAGCTGTCCCTGCCGCTCGAAGCTTATGAGTCAGAAATGTTACGTGAGGCTCGATGGCTGCGAGTGGACAAGCGGACCGCCTCGATGATCCTTTCCAGTCTGCCGGAGACTGCGAAGCGTGATATCCTAGCTCCGCAGCTTGTCTGGTATGTTAGCCCGGGCCAGTCCTTTATCGCCTGGGATCTGGCTGAGCTGAGAAAGAAGTGGAGTCGGTGGACGTCGAGGGCTACAGACGTGGAGCTACAGCCTTCAAACTCGAGTGTGTCGATCAAGGGCTTCGACAACCTCACCAACACGGCTCTTGCGGAGCACCAGGATATTTGTCTGTTTTTCGGGGCCGATGTGGAGGTACACTTTGCAGGTGGATACCAGGCCAACAACAAATTTACTTCAAGCCTTTATTTCGGAACTAGAACAGGTGGCTTTTCGGAGCAGGCCAAGCAGCTCTGGCACGCCATTAATCAAGGCGGTCGGGGCACCGAAGCCTCCTGCTACTACGCCTGGTGTTGGTTCAAGCAGTTCAAGCCGAAATCAAAAGCAGCAGGCGGCGCGCAGGTTCTACTTGACGGATAAGCGCCGCTCGAAGGTTGGGGCGTGTACCTTTTCTCACGCCTTTACTCGCAAGGAGAGAGGTGTACTTGAAGGATCATGGGGGTTACTATATAGATAGTGGACTTATACAAGTTAGTGCCAAACTTAGAGCGGTTAGCCAAGTCCAATTAATGGACTTAGTAAGTGAGAGATAAGGGACTTAGGTAAGTCCAGATGGAGCAGTTAGGTAAGCTGACTAAGTCAGTTAGCCCAGTTAAGACGATGAATATAGCAATGGTATTTTGTATCTATATATACATACATATACACACATATACCGAAGAAGCTCACCGTGAAAGCATCGCACAGCATGCAATTGAGGCCCTCGGGCTAAAGCAAAGATGCACCAGCACATGAAAAGATTGAAACCTAAAAACCTGCATCAACACCGAAAGCCGACACCAGCCTCAAGCTGAAAAAATTCTTGAAAGAAAGATCTAAAGCCGATACCATCTTACAACACATCACCGGCTCCATCATATTATGCGGGGAAGCCCTTCGAAGTTGCCCATGTTCGCAAACCATTACATAAACATCGAAATCAAGCTACATACCAGTTATGAATAATAGACACCGAAACCGACATCATATGAGCATAAACACAAGTAAACCTAAGCCAATATTATTATATCAGCCCCCCAAACCCTGCATTCCCAAGCATCTGGTGGTTGCCGACGTCAACAGCACCTGCGAGGGAGGGCTTTATGTGAACACAAACATGAAGCACAGCACGAGTTCGAATGCAGGGCCGTGGGCTCGCATGCAGGATCATGCACTTTTGCAGCTCACTCCAACAACACGATGGCATCGTCGCCCTTGCGAGACCAGATGCAAGCCGAAAAAATGCATGCCGTGTTGATGAAGAAACTTTCGTGCTTCACACGGTACATGTGATCGGCCACATGGCTCCATGGACTCATGCATGTGAGAGGCAGGCCGTCAACTTCAACATGAAAGTGAATCATGCCGACAACGTGTTCCTGTGCATGCTTGGCTCTGACGACATCTCCATGGGAGCACCGGAATCCTCCGCCATGCAATGCTGCCTGTGCTTGAAACACACCGTCGGAGTTGCCGAACACATCCCGGATCAGGCTGGCCATTGCCTTTGTGCACCGTCTCTTGCCGATGAGTCGCACATCCCCTTGAGGGAGTTCGTCCTGCATCGCAAGGAACTGAGCTGCAAGGGTCTCGCGAAGGACGGTAGCTTCGTATGATCTGGAGGTGTCCTTCATGTTGTTTGCGAACCTCTTGACCAGTTTGTGTTTCCTTTCGTGCACGAAGCACGAAAGGAGCAGCCCGTGACGAGACAAGAATTCGGGTAGGTGCATGGTCATATGGTTCTTCGGAACCCAGTACTCTGCCCCGTAGTTGGCGAGGTATAGTTCGCAATGCTCCTTAATGGCACCCCTGAGGGCAGCAGGGTCCAAGCCACCCTGAGTGGCTTTCCTCAGCATGCGAAGGATTTTGCACAAGGTGAAGAATCCGTGACAGCAACTCTTCAGGGAGTCGTCAGCATCCCTCCAGACGAAGAGGATAAGGAACAACTGCAGGACCGGCAGGAAATTAAGGAGCTCGGAGGCTTCTGCTTTCACCGGGGCAGTCTTGTCCTCTCGCTTTTTGGCGAGAACTGACTTGGCATCCGCACCAGCGAATTGCACCGGCCAATGGAAGGATTGCACGAAGTCGTGTATCTGTTGCTCGGGAAAGCCACTGTCTCGGAGGCGGCCTAGCAACACCCCAACCTCGTTACCGGCCACACCGTGGACCAAGTAAATGTGGAACCAATCGAACATGATCATCTCCGGAATGTTGTGTCCTACATTCGACATCAAGAGGCCTCCCGGCATGTAGTTGTAGCCCAAAGCTTTTTCCATTGTTTGGAAGTCCTTCTGGGAAACCGTGCCATGTTGGGAAGAGAGGTACCTCATGATTTCACCGACCGACCGGTTCGTGTGCAAGCGAAACTTCGTGAAGTCAGTGCATGTCGACGAGAGAACATCGCCATGGTCCTGTAGCCCGCTTCGGTGGGCAACGACATTCGCACATCTCATACAAAACACTGTGCCCGAGGCACCTTTGCTTTCAGCTGTTTGTTTCAGGGCTGCCTCGTCCGCTATAAGAACAGAGAGGTCGGCAAAGACGGGAAATGCTGTGGTGGATGTCTGCAGCACCACACCATGCCTCATGTCATGATCCATGAACATGTGCTGGATGGCATGTTTCCAAAGCACAGTGAGGCCGCCGATCCGATTGCAAAGAGTGCTTCTCAGTATACACAAAGGGAACCAAAGCCACTCCGAGGCCAGATCTTGCCCGTGCTGGACGATGGACCAGTAGATGACTTGTAGTTTCCTGGCATTCAGCGGTTTTAGCTGATTGCCGGGACTAACTTCATCAGCATATATAGCGATGCCCAGCTTGTCTCCAGGGCTGGACTGGCCACACTTTTTGAGCAGTCCATGGTAATGCTCGTTGGCGATGCAGTGCTGCAGCAGCACAACAGGTGGCACGAAGGGAACCCTTACAAATTTCGTGTCATCGCTCTCATGTGGGATGTCCATGTTAATGATCATCTGCCCAAAGGCATTCTCCCACGACTTCTCTTCACCATCCCTCGCTCGCTTAATCGAGGCTCGCGAGGTGGTAGCAAAATCGTCGGCGAGGAAACCGGTCTTCTTCAAATCGCTGAGCACGGATTCCAGACCTCGTTGTGATACAAACACCTTCCTCCCCAGGCTTGCCAAAGGTTTGGAGCTGGAGCTGGATGTCATGATTCGGGCAATGCCCAAGCTTTGCAGGAATTGGTCCTGGCCACGAGCCAAGGGCCCTGCAGCACGGACTCTTTTAGTGTAGCTTTGTTGGCGATTTTCCATGCATGGATGAACTGTCACACACATGTAAAGTTTGCAGCACAATACTCCGAATATATTATGATCGAACCCCAGGAACCTTCAGCTTTAAAACACCAACAGACTACACAATACATTTCCTATATGTATACATTATATGATATACAGACCCACTATATGTATAGTTTAAACTCTATATATAAATATGTACCAATCGGAAACCCCGAACCTGTATATAGGCTCTGAGATATACACTATGAACCCTTTCACGACACACATCCTCTATAACACTGCACAGGAGCTCCAGCTTCCATTCCATGTCACATGTCAGGGCACACATGCATCGGCCACATTTTGAGATGCTCTTGCTGCAGCCCGTGTGCAGCCGGACTTCATAATGCATGAGTGAGAGTGCCTGAGACACGATGTGAATCAGGAGTCTCTACTTCAAAAAGCAACTAGGGCAGCAGCCTCGCTTCCATCGGCACTTTGCACATCCTGATGGCCTCATTCGAACTCGTTCATCCCAATCCGGAACCTTCTTGGCACCCTTGGACTTGGGGGCAGCCTTGGCCTTGGTCTTCGCCTTCGCCTTAGCCTTAACCATCGGCTTCGTCGTCGCCTTGGCTTTGGCTTTGGCTTTCGCCTTGCACATGCCCTTCGCCTTTGCCTTGGCTTTGCTCTTTGGCTTTGCCTTGCCCTTCGCCTCGGCCTTCTCGCTGCCACCCTCCGGATCACCAGCCTTGCCATCCTCGGCTTTCTTCTTGTTCTCCTCTTGACGATTCTTCCAGCTGGAGAGCATGGTGTTCACCTGCTCTTCCGGAGTCATAGGCGGCTGAGCTTGCTCCGGCTCTGCACGTGCTGGACTCGATGCTGCATCGGGTCCATTCGTGATTGCGAGGGTTTGCTTCGGCGGGTTCGTCTTGGTGTTGTTCATGAAGATGTTCTGCTGGCCGGACATGCCAGCCTGCTGTGCACCTGCGAAGACATTGAACATGTGCTGCATGCTCTGGAACCCTTGCATCATCATATTCGCCATGTTGTTCTGCGAAGGCACCTGAAGGTCTAGAGTAGGAACCTTCTGGTTGTTCTGGCTCTTCAACATCGCAGAAGACTTTCGAACTGGACCGATGGAGCCACCCAGGCCGGCATGTCCGGACGGCCCTTCGTCACCATATGCTCTCGTATACACATCGGAGGGTAGATCTGCCGGTGTCGTGAAGTTGTGCACATGGCTCGTCGACCCACTGGGATTGGACTTGAAGTGCGACTTCAAGGCTGCTTTGAAATCCTGAACTGTGTTGTAAACACTTGAGGGTCCTCGAGTTCCTTGAGGCCAAAGTCGTTCTTGAGCACTCCCACAGCTCGGCCCGAAGTAGGCTCCGTCGGGCAGCTGCAGTTGATGCTGCAAAACATCATGGCCATCCGACTTGCCTTGGCCTTAATGGTGTGGTCTGGGTTCGAGATGAAGGTCACATCCGAGGCCCGGAGGAAACTTCCCGGGTCGTCCATGGTCTGCATGGACTTCTTGCTGCCCTGTGATTTGGGTGTGCTGCATGCCACGAAACGATCACCGATCTGCCGCATCAGCTCGTCCTTCTGACTCTCGCTGAAGTTCAAGGACTGCACCATAGCGAACAGTGTCTGGACTTCTGCTGAATCCGTGAGCCGGAGACCCGAAATCTGCTTCTTGGCAGACTCCATACAGGACTCGATCATCCGGTCTTTCGTTGTCTGGTCTGTCATGGTCTCTGCGAGTGAGGAGATGGTGAGCAGTTGGTCGCCCAAGGCTTTCGAAGTCGCCATGCCGGAAATCTGAGTGTGGAATACCACAAAAGTGTTCGAGCACTCCATGCATGCACGTGCAGCCATGAAGGAGGCAATGCATCATGGATGTATACAATGCCATGCATGCATGCATGTGCTCCCTTTTGAAACACCCATGCAATGCATGTTCCTGCCTGCGAGCTTCTACAGCCCTGCGAGACGAATTGTGAATGTGTGATCTATATACATGCCATGTCATCTGCAGTTTCAAAGAAGCACACATGCGAGCATTCCAGAGTGCCAACCGGCTGGATCAAAACGAATGCCCCCTGTCGGTACATAGTGCCAATTAAGGTATACAATGTGTAGCATTATATACACAAGCACCAGTGAAGGCAGACTGTGGAATCGACCGAACATAGCAACACAAAGAAAGCTTCAGACTGCATGCGACATGCACTCGACCCTCCCTATGACTTCTGCGGTCGCCAGCATTTTCCTTCAAACTCACACCTGCTCAGCTAAGTCTTTCTGTACAAGGCAAGAGACTTCGAGAAGGGCGCCTGGCATGGGAGCTCGCATCTGTATACTAAAGTAGATGTAAGAATATACATATATATATATGGCTATATGGACAGCTATAGATATCTATGGAGGAGAGCAACAAAATACTTATATATATGTATACGTGAATATATATATATATATATATATAGAAGTATATAGAAGTATATATAATATCTATATATATATATATAGAGATATATATATATTCCCAGCTCCCGTAGTCTACAGGCGAGGCCCGAGCCGTGCTGTACATGGCTTGCCAACGGTGCAGGATTACACCCAGCCACTCCTACAGTATAGTGTGCGGTCCGAAAACCCAAATATGCAGCAGCATGCACAATCCTGTATAGCAGCAGTTGCAACAGGCACCCGAAATATAAAGCTGCTATCGGTGTTTGTGTGTGTACCTCATGCACATGCCCGTCTTCCTATGTCCGAAAATCCTTCTATAAAGTCACATATAGTTTCTACATCACAAGAGAATAAGAAACATCTAATATAGACACATGCATATATGTGTACAGCTACATGGGTTGTACACATACATACATACATATACAAATATATATATATATATATATATATATATATATGTCTGCACAGACATATCTACATGGAGTATATAATGCCCATATTCTAGATATACATACATACATATCACACATACAGACCTATATATACATAAACCACGATCCCTCGTCCTCCGAAAACAATGTATATGGTATATACCCCAAATATACACAGTGTGGCTATACATGCATATAGCAATACCCTCGTACATCTTAGATGATATAATGTACAAGCACAAATCGTATTTTCCTGAACACAGAAGCCCGTGAAACCAGAAACCCAGCCCCCCAGGCCGCCAGGTGCACGAACCAGAAGCACGAAAAGTCTGAACCCCAGGGTCACGACCACTAGGCGAAACCTTCTGCTGCTGGGCTGGAACAGATCTGCACCGGGACAACCCCGATGTTTCCAAGACCCTGCCACAAACCCTTTGAAGCCTGCCAGGGTAAAGGTTTCAGATGGTTCGGGGTTCGGGGATTGGGGTTGATGGTTTGGGAGCAACGGTTTAGGAGTTGTTTTTTGATTTGAAGTTGGGGTTTAGGTTTTCGGTCACAAGGTAATAGATCTACAGCTGGGAATCACCATTTTTATCGATCGATAAATTTGGGATGGGTCCAGGGCACCGAGATTTATAGATTGATAAATCTGTTGGTGTATTCTAAGGCCTGGGCCTACCATTTTTATTGATCTATAAATCCTGGGCTGGGGTTAGGCTGCAATTTTTATCGATCGATAAATCTGGGCTAGGTCCAGGGTCCCGGGTTTTATCAATCAATAAAAACCGGTCTGTGGCCAGATCCCATACATCGGGCTGTGCAGCCAGCTAGGACACCGCAAAAGCACACGAGGACCTAGGTCGGAAAGGTTGGGAAGACTGTGCTCCGAAGCCTTTGCGAGTGCCTGTACAGCACTGTGCCAGTGCCTATGCAGCAGTGCCCCACTATTGCCAGAGTCCTTAGGCTACAGTTTTTTAGGAACCAGCACCGGCTCCCCAACCCCCTTCGAGAGGCAAGCCCCGCCGGCGCCAATTTCAGGCAGCCCACCGGCTCACTTGCCGTGGCCACCAGCCTTGTCCTGCCACCGAAACACAGCAGCAGGGCAGTGCTCGCTGCTAGTGACTGCATGCATGGGTGGTGCACATGTAATGTCACGAAAGCCTGGTCCAGCATGTGGTCGATGAGCCTCGCCACACTTTCGGACTGTGTCGAGACCTGAGAAGACATTCTTGTAAGGTCTGGGGCTTAGGGTGTTTATGTGGGGTTAAGTGCATGCTGGGGCACCACCGACCATGCCAGATTCGCCGCCCCCTGGCCCCGACTCCTGGTTCTTGTCCGGCCAGCACCAGGCCTCATCCAAAAGCTTGCTGGTTTCTGTTTTTATGAACATGCATGCAGTCCTCCTTGAGTGCCGGGCGGGTTCCACTTGTCGCCATCATGATAAAAGCCGCCCACCCTCCAGCCTGCACCGTCCTTCTGGACGACCCCCGAAGGCGGAGGCGGCGGTGTGCTCGAGGACGAAGCCGATGGGTTCTAGCAAGGACAGCAAACAAAAACCCACGAAGGCATCAAGGAGACCAGGCAGACCCCTCCTTGGCGGCTGGAGCCGGGGGTGGCGGTGGGATCCATGGCATTTTGCCCTGGCAAGCAGGCAATGACAAGGCCCCCCCCCGCCCATCTCAAGAAAACAAGAGGCCTTCTTGGATTTCGGCGGCGGCTCCTTGGGCTCGGCCGGCTTCTTGCAAGCCTGCCACACACAACATGTTTTGTACACCGCAACACACATGCAATCTTCGCCTTGACCGGGATCTCCCTCGGCCGCTTCTTCGGCTTAGGAGGCATCCATTCCTCCCGAAGTCGTTATTTTAAATGCAAGACCACGAACACAGCGACACTGTCCTTCTTGTCGGGCTCCTCACATGTGACCTCCTCCATCTCGCCGTCTTCTTCCTGGTTGTTTTGAAAGTGCAACTACAACTCGCATCGTTCAACCTGGGCACTGAGTGCAGTACCTTTGGCCGATCCGGCTCCTTTTCCTTCTTCAGCTCCTCGTAGTCCGTCGCATCGATCTCCTCACACCAGATCGAAACACACATGAAGTTCACTTCTTTGCTCTAGGCCCGGGCCTGGAGCACAAGCTCAGCAGGGCACCACGTGCCCTCCCAATCCTGGCACAGCCAACCTGCCGAGACTGAGATAGCACAAATAGGCTCGGGGTTGGGGGTTTTCATGTTTGATTGAAGGCTTTTGGCCTTTGCGGTTGTGCTGTATAGTGTGTATATATAGTTTATAACATATATGTATGTACATATATATATATATGTATGGGCATATATATACATATATATATATATGTCTCGCACATACATACATACATACATACACACATACATGTGTATACAGATGTGTGTGTATGTATAAATGTATGTATGTATGTATGTATGTATGTATGTATGTATGTATATATGTATAAACACAAATATGTAAAAGTTAGGAACCTGAGCGCCTTTTCTGTGTACACATGCTGCACACCTACATTATATAGATATAATATATAACATCATATATTATATAAACCATAAACCATGAACCCGTATATACCCTAAACTCTACAAAAACCGAAACCCTTGAAAACACAACCCTGTAAAAACCTGCATGCCTTCGGTCGGGGGTGTCTCCTCGCGGCTGTCGTGCTTGTACAGGAGGTTGCCTGCAGAGAAGAGACGATGAAAATGTGGGACAATGGCACATCCCCGGCCTAACATGTCGAGGATCCTCCACTTCTTCTTCTGCTTGTGCCAACCGAGGATGGCTGAGCTGGTGCTCCATGTGGCGTCCTGCATGGAATAAAAAAGGATGCCCTTTTTGGTTTAAAGGGCCTTATAAGGGAACTGTCCTCGTTCGGCAGCAACACCTCCAGGAGCCCGCACCGATCAAAGGCCCACCATTGCGGTGAGTCCTGACCAGCACACACATCTTTTTGGTTGCATGGGAGACAGGAACCAGGCCTCCGCCACATCAGGGCTGATCATGCAGCTATAACCCGTGCACGACATGGTCTACAGGCTACAGCTGCACACGAAAAAAGCTCGAAGCCTGAGCCACATGTCAACCGATACATGAGGAGACCGATGCACGTGCACAGAACCGAGCACCACGAGGAAGCAAGCACTTGCAGCAACCGGCATATTTGGCACATGAAGTTCCTGCATGCCAGCGAGAGAAAATTATGCGATATGTGCACACATGTATATATGTTCCTGCCAACGAGCAAATTGCCCTGCTGACGAAAACCTACTTCCTGCAGGCCTTGGCCCTTTTAGGCTTGATCGTCTTTCGTGGCTTGGCCTCAGAATGCTTGAAGCTGGTCTGGATGTGCTTCACGACATCGTCCTTCAGTTCCAGCCACATAGTCCGAGTGCCCACTCCCTCGAACAAAGTTCGGCATTGGACCTTGTTGCCATCCTCGGCCTCGCCGGGCAAGTCAATCTGAATGCTGTGGGGTGCATAAATGTCATGCTTCTGTGTAGCTTTGAACTCCTTGGTTTTCTTGGTCTTCTTCTGGGCCTTCTCCGGCTGTGGGGCTTCGTCATTCTCTTCATCCTTGAGTCTTTCGGAGATAGCCTCGTTGAATGCTTCTTGGCGACGGGCCAACATGTTCTCGAAGAAAGGTGTGTCGAGTGACAAGTTTTGATTGTCCGTATTCTTCCTCAGATCCAAGCCCTTGCCGTACACGAACCGAAACAATCCTCGATCCCACTTGCTCACTTTGAACCATGTGACTCCCTCGGCCGTCTTTTGTTCCGGGATCCAAGTGAGCCCTGACCCGTATGTGACGATCTGTTTTGTCACCACCGTGGGTGCGGTCATCTCCTCATCTTCCTGCTCCATGCTGGCAAAGCTACGAAATCACGGATGAAGCTGGAGCTGCAAAACTTCGTGAATGACATGCAATCATGAATGCCATGGCTTTTGGCGCTTTTACATGCAATCGTGCTCGCAGTCATGCACACTTGCACACATACACGGGCTCGGGCATCTTTCCTGCAGGCTGCAAGTGCATGTTCTTTCATGTGCATGGATCGTGGTGGGCAGCACAGCTGCTGCATGGTTCAAAGCAATGGAGGAAGTGCCCGTGAGCTCTCTCGGACAGCTGCACACAAAATGGCATGGGATGCATCACACTCGGGCTTCAGGAGTCTCCCGGCTTCTTGGAGCAGATTCGCTTCCTTGGCGGGGTGTCAACCTGCAAGGCCTCGACGTGCACAGTCTTCTCGGCCTTTGGCATATACAGCACATCGTCCTGCTGCAGGTCCAGGGTGTTCTTGAGGATGGGGAGTTGAACCTTCTTGTCTCGATTGGACTTGACATGCGAAACCTCGCAATTCCAAGTGTCACTCACGGGAAGCGGCTGCACAAGGAATGCAGGATTGATGAAGCCAGCATCCCCTTCGGCTTTCGGAATCTGAATGAACGAAACAATCCAGAAGAAGTAGTCACTCATGGGGGTGATGATATCGAAAATCGCATCCTCGGGCTTCTTCTGACCGTGCTTGATCGTCAAACCCATGGGGACCATGATGAGCTTGTTTTTCGGGATGAATGCCGTGGCTTGGACTGACTTACGAGGCTTCAAAGTGACCCTGAGCTTCTGCAGCATGGGATTCGTGTCGTGCTTTTGCATGAGCTCATGCATGTCCATGTACAAGCATGCCAACAGCATCTGTCGCTCGTATTCGGGGAAGTTCAAAGGCGAATACACTGACAAGTCATCCACCGTCTGGGGTTCCGGCTTGGGTGTGTAGACCTGCCAGTGGCCTGCGAGAAAGCTGTCGATCGACACCCGCACTACGGACCCCGAGGGCTGCTTCAGCTTGACACGGCCAAGCTCGATCGCCGTCACCTGGCCAGTTTCCTGATCCGCCTTGCGACGGACATATTGGCCGACTGAAAAGCCGGACTCGGCCATCATCACCGCTGAATCCTTCACCGAGCCGTCGGAGCTCAGCTCCCTCATGATGGCCATGGGTGCTCCCACCTGTTTGGAACCCGATGCCTCACCCGAATCTGCGACCTTGTGTGCCGCCCAGGGCCCATTCAGGTCTGTTTTGAGGATGCCTTCCAAAATCAGGACGAGGTCATGGGCGAGGGATTGGCTTGTCTTATACTTCTTCAAGTCTTCACCGGGCAACATCACATTCAGGGTGAAGGCAGCCAAGGACATGTCCCCATAGGACAAGCAGGTCTGCACTTCGGGTTTCATGAGAAGCTCTGCACCATCCGGCAGGGCCGTCACAAGCTTTCGCCACGTGCTCATGATGGTGTCTGCCTCCTTGACAGAGGCCGTTGAATCCTTGTGCAACATCTTCTTGCACTCGGCAGACCCCACAGCTTCTTTGCAGTATGCAAGCTTCACCTAAGAGCAGCAGCAACAACAACAACAACTAGCAACCTCGGCCTTGCAATCCCATATGTGACCTGTACATGCATGCATGCTTGTATGAATCAAGTGGCCATGGCATGCCGGAACCGTGGGAATTGGTTGGAACCTTTGACATCGGCACTGACCTTCTCCCAGAAACCAGGTCCCAATGAACGTGTGCTGGGGGAATGCAACCTAACGAAGGTTTCAGTCTCGTTGAGCAAGAACGGATCTGTGCCACCCGCAGTCTTCAACACGAAACTGTAAAGATGCGGCATGGACTTGCCATGCACGGACTTCCCCGTGGTGACTTTGCTCTTCAGTGCCAGGAAGTCCACAGAACCCTGAGAGCTCATCTGGACCCAAGTCTGATGCAGCCGTCTCATCAGTTGGAGCTCGTGTTCGCCACGGTGATGTGTGGCGTTTCCCATCCTTTGGACAAGTCCCAACAGCTGCGGCAGCTGGGCAGCGACGTGCTTTGACAAGATCTTCCAAACGACTCCTTCGCGAACCGCCCTCGCGAAGTCCGGATCGTGCTTCCGAAGCAGCTCCATGCTGAGTCTTCCATCATGACACACGGTCTCGTCTCCTTCATGCATGACCTCATAGTGGAAGCACCGCAAGACCGAGTTTGTGTGTGACCCTGCCAGGGAGAGTGCTTTGATCATCGTGGGCTCCAGGGGCCCACAGCGATCATGCATGCTTTGGAAGAGACGGACATTCCAATCGATGTCCTCTTGCCCAGTTGGCTCATGGGCGATGGCCTGGACCCTGGCATCAAGCCAGCCGGCTTGAACTATGTCGCCCAGAAGATCGTGGACATCTACGGGATTAATCCCGCTCCCGTCGCGGTTCTGGGAACTGATCCCGACCATGGTCGGTTGAAGCTGCATCGTGTAGACGTGGCCCTGCGACTCAAGCTGGCTGATAGCCGCATGCACCGTCTTTACAAGTCGATCGCCTTCTTGCACCTGTTGCAGCTTGAACGAGATGTCCGCAACGAGATCAGCAGACAAAGCCATGCTGTGTTTCGGAAGCGGTCGTGTGTGTGTGTGCAGTGAGTGCTGTCACAGCCAAGATGCTGCATGCAGATATGAACTGTCAGTTTGAAAGTCATGCAAGAATGTCGTGACAGCCTGCCGGCGAGCAAATTGCCCTGCACGACGACTTCCTATATACACATGCAGGGCATCGTATACCACTGCATGTACACGTGATGCAAAGACTGCAAGTGTATACACATACATGCAAACACTGCATGAAAGCTGCAAGCATCACTGCATGTCTCTCATGATGGGAGTCTCGACATGGCCAAACATGCTCGGAACACTGAACTCATCACTTGCAAAGAAGCGGGGGGCGGAAGCACCTTTCGATGCCGTCGACGTCGGCAACCACCAGCACCGACATGCAAATGCTTTGCCCCGATGAAGTTAGGGTACTTATATAAGTACTTATAAATGACTTAGATAACCGATATAACCGTGTCCAAGTACTTATCTTCCACTTACAGCATTTGTCCCAAGTCACTTATAAATGTGCTAAGTGCTTATTAACTCAAACAACTACTTATAACCACCCTCGCTCACTTACTAAGTTCAAAAACACACTTACCCAACATGGTACACTTATAAGTCAAGATAGCCCGATTATAAGTTCACTTGCAGGCTTTACTAACCACCGCAACCCGCCCATTCGGATACTAAACAACACGATCCTTCAAGTAGGACATGTGGCAGCACCCAGCATCAGCAGACCACCTGCCCCGCGAAACAGAATGGGTCGAGTCATACGGCGGGGACATAGGCTGGTGTCCAAAAGGCACGATCGGTGCCACAGGTGGCCTCCAAGACTGCTGAGGCCTTTTCTTCGGTGCCGCCTGTTTGACGACGTCTACGGCAACCACTGCGATTCCTGAAGTGATGTAAAAGGAGCTGCTCAAGGAGGCGAGGTGCGATGCTGAAGGAGAGCCGCCAGTTAAAGATATATGCTCTGACTACAATGCAGGTCGAGAACCAGGGTGTTGGTGTCCGTTACGATCCGGTTTCGGGGCACGAGGGTCTGTTGGACAGCGGCGCGAGCCACCCGTGTCGCAAAGCTACGGTCCAAGAAATCGATGAAGCAGACTGGGTTCACGTAGAATTTGCGGACGGCAGATAGCGCTGGCGCAAGCTCCCAGCGGTACTCTGTTGTTCTCTATGTAAGTTTCACGTAAGCGCACGAGAGAAAGAGAGAGAGAGAGAGAGAGAGAGAGAGAGAGAGAGAGAGAGAGAGAGAGAGAGAGAGAGAGAGAGAGAGAGAGAGAAAGAGAGAGAGAGAGAGAGAGAGAGAGAGAGAGAGAGAGAGAGAGAGAGAGAGAGAGAGAGAGAGAGAGAGAGAGAGAAAGAGAGACACAGCGCACTCACTCTTTTTAACGGCGGAGGCTGCAATGTCCGTGCCATGCGTGGCGAGCTCCAGTTCTGTGCTATGCGAGGCACGAATGTAGCCCCCAACGGGTGTGGAGGGTGGGCGAAAAAAAAAGAATGTTTGCGGGGCTGCCGCCCGTCATGCAGTGTGTTCTATGTTTGAGCATCCGTGGCAAGGCGGTGCGTAACATGACAACGCATAGAAAACACTGCTGACTAAACAAACAAACAAACAAACGCACAGCGAGCGTTCTCTATGTAAGTTTCACGTAAGCGCACGAGAGACAGAGAGAGAAAGAGAGACAGCGCACTCGCTCTTGTTAACGGCTGAGGTTGCAATGTCTGTGCCATGCGTGGCGAGCTCCAGTTCTGCGCTATGCGAGGCACGAATGTAGCCCCCACTTTAGCGGACACTGCAACCTCTTGCCGCCGCCGGTTCAGGAAGCCCTCCCCGCGTGAGGGTGAAGTGGCAGCAGAGCGGCCTGAGGCAGGCGCGTAAGCTAAAAAACGACCTGAGTCTGCGGTGCGCGAGACGACTGGCCTGAGCGGGGCTGAGTGCAAACCCACCAGCTGTACCTGACAGAGCAGCGTCAGAGAAACCAAAGACCAGATTAAAAGCGTGGGCCAGGCGAGCCTTCGTGCGTCCAGGAAGGCCTGTCCCGCAAGGTATAGGCTCCTCCTGTCCTGCGGCTCAAGATATCGGAGATATCGGAGCAAAATGCTAGCAGTGCGTTGCGACAGAAAGGTTTCAGGCAAACCTCCCGAAATGAATTCTGCTGCGCCCGGATTGGTGCTGTTCAGATGCAGGAGAGCCTCCACCAAGAGTGCCGTGCGGTGCTGGTACAAGGGCGGTTCCGGCGTAGCAATGACATGGCTAAGGAAACAGCTAGAAACCGAGGGCGCTAATCGAGCTCATGTAACCCAATGCCAGGCGATGCGTCGGTGCACTCCGGATCGGCCCTCAAGCTGCGCAATGCGGCGCTCAAGTGCACATATGTAACCCCACAAGTTTTGCACTCTAAGGCTGAGCTTGTCTATGCGCAAGTGCAACTGCGTTGAGCATTCTAAAGTGTCTTCTGCGAGATCCTGGATGGCCTTGACTTTGACCATCCTTGCAGTGCGCGGCGAGTCCGGAGGTCCGGTCAACGAAGCCATGCGGGGCACGGCCGAAAATGGCTGCGGTGCACAGCGATGCTGTGTGATGCTAAAAAAGGTGCTATGAAAAAAAGACTGTTTGCGGGGCTGCCGCCCGTCATGCAGTGTGTTCTATGTTTGAGCATCCGTGGCAAGGCGGTGCGTAACATGACAACACATAGAAAACACTGCTGACTAAACAAACAAACGCGCAGCGAGCGACCCGACGATCACCTGACGGCTCGACGGACCTATAGTGCCAGTAGGAGCCCTTGTGCAAGATCTTGGGCGCCAGATCTCCTGGACCAGATGCGGTGGACTCACAATCAGGCACCCGGAACGCGGATTCATCAGGCCGGCAATCGTCGGATGGTGTCCGGTGGTTGCGGAGCCGCAGGCTCTAGACTCTATAGACTCTATAGACCTCATTTACGAGATCGAGTATGAAAAGCTTCGCCAGCTGCAGTATGCAACGTGGGCAACGGTGAAGGCCCTTTGGCTGTGGGATATTGAGAGGCCATGGGCTCAGCACTTGGAGGACTCTGCCCGCACAGGAGGACGAGGTGCTCAGTTGAGGGCTATGACATCGAAGGGTTCACCCTTTGCTCCGTGGTTTGTTCTTGACCGGTGGCTGGCGGCAGAGGCTGTTGACTTCGATGATCGGTCTGGCTGGGCCTACTTGAGGGCGATTCCGGGATCACGCCTGAAGACGATGAGGTTGATGACTTCGTCATGGATGACATCCAGTCTTCCACAAGCTGGATGATAGGAGAGTGTTGGCGCAGATTGACATCAAGCCCTCCCAGGCTGAGGATGTTGGAATGGTTGCTGGTGTTTACCGCGCTCTGCCATGGGGAGCTGCATGGCCGAGAGGAAGTCCGCCTGGATCTGGTTCAGAAGATGATGTGGCTGATGGTGGCGGCAAAGGCGGCTCGATCTTCTTGTGGAGGTCATTGAGTGTTCGCTATGATAGAAGGCCAGAAGGTGAGCGCGCGCTTGCTCCACCCAGCTAGCTGAAAATCAGAGAAGAAGCCCATCATGGCTGAACAGCTCTCCAAAACGCCCAACCGCATCTCGCGCCGTCTTGCCAAGCGACCTGCGACGACCGAGCAAGCTTGTTTCTGGCATTAAATTAGCTGCTCAACATGGGCGTGGAATGGAAGGTTGCCGTCGAGCTGCCCACATAATTGGTTCAGCAGTGTTCTCGGGCTGCAGTGTGATCTGGAATTCAAGGCAAGTCAAGGCGCCATCGGCCGAAGGCACCTGCATCTCAAAGGGCACGGAGTACATCTCGGGCAGAGCATGCTTGCAGACGACAGCCGCATTAAGACCTGCTCATCCATAGCAGGTCGTCGCAGTAGCGTCCCCTTGCCATGGTGTTCCAGAGTCTGTCCTGCCACTCGTAGACAGCCGCACGGCGAAGGTCATGGCGTGTGCACCACACATCCAGACGCAGGAGGTGGCCACTTTCGACAGCATCCAATCGGCAGCCCAGTGTACGTCTAAATGTTGTTCCCAGTCCGCGCAAATTTCTGTAGGCAAAACAGATCCGGCAGCTGGAACACGCCGCACTGGCGGAAAGAGCGAAAACTCACCCTCCGAAGAAGGCATGCATGCCTGCAGCAACCGTCACAGCCTGAATGCCATCGTGCCGAGCCTTGCGGAGGATCCCATGCAGTGATATGGCCCAGCCAGCCACTCGCCACGATGCGCCTCACGCAGGAATGGCCCGGGGCAGTGCGCGTACGGTGGATGCAGAGTGGACTAGCCAAAGCATTTGACTTCAATGCTGATGCAACAGTACGGCACATACCATCCGTCTCTTCGCACACCGAACTGCTTCTGAAGGGCCACAGGTACCAGCAGCAGCAAGACGCTGAGGCACCACGCATTTGCTTCCTCCGGTGTCAGACAGGTGGCCTGCCAAGTGTTTGACAGGGATACATACCATGCTATCATCAGAAAATAGACGGCTTCCGGAAGTCGCCAGCAGTATTGCTTCGCTTTGAAGTTTGGACACAAAACTTCACGGCGACCTCGTCTGAGAAGGGCAGTATGGCGCTCATACTCCGACTGCTCGGCGCCCCAGTCCGCATACATCCGATGGAAAGACACGGATGCCCTCAGCGAGCTCACCACACTTCGGGTCAGACGGGCTATCGCACCTGGCATCCCAACGCTTACAGCCCAACTTCGGACGCACCAGTTGGCCTCTGACCGCCGCAGGCCCGAACCAGAAATAGCGGCAGCCAACTCATCGTCGGCACACTGTTGCAGGCGCACCTAATCAAAGGACTGCGCTCGGGCTGAGCGATTTTGTACATCTGCAAACGCGGCAGACTTTCCCAGTACCAGACGGGTGGCCTGCCTCACGTAGCATTTGACATCAGCCGACCAGTGCGGGTTGGAGGCTATATACTCTGGCTGATGGCCTTCCGAAACGCAGGCACAAACTCACGGCGCTTTACTTTGATCCCACTGGT